AGCTCGACCCATGACTCTCTCCACCGACATTGACTCAATCACTCAAGGTCCAAAGGGCTTTTAAGGCGCAATGAAATGGCTTGGGGTAAGGGTTAAAAAAAAAAAAAATAAATAAATAAATTCTGGCTGGTGGTGTAAGCTCCTAAGAGTGAAACATTAATGAATCGAGCAAAACCAAGGCCAACTAACCTTAGTTGGTGGGTATTATACCCCCCAACTAACTCTAAACTATATACAAGATCGATGCCTTACTTATGCATTCTTATTCCAACTTTTTTTTTTTTTTTTTTATACCAAAAGATTTAATTGGGGAAACAAACACGTCCCTTGCAATTTACATTATAGACATCCACTATGCCAAACTTTTAACTTAGATACAAAGCCAAGCTCGAGTTTCACTCATTTCTATAAAGGTGAAAATAAAATTAGGTTCATAAGGCTTGTAATGCGGGTAGACAAAAAGTGGAAGGCTCAAGGGGGTACGCAAAAGGTGAATGTAAACCCAAAAACCTGAAATTTGAAAGTAAAGGTGTCCTAGGAAATAAAAAAAGGATCTAAAAAGAACGAAAAATTATGCCCTTATCCCGAAATGAATGCCTTTATCATCCTATGAGTCGATTCGGTCGCGGTCTCAAGAGTCAAATGGAGCGAGTTTTAGATCAAGTAGCAAAACACTAAGTCTCCAAATTTCTAGCCACCTAGCTTTCATTCACAAGATGAGCTACGCCCAACAACCACAAACCGAGGACAAAAGGGATCAAGGCCTAAATAGCCCAAGATATGTCCAATAGGAGTCATTTGAGCAATGAAGCTATGTGATTTTCAACCAAAACATTAAAGACCTTGTAAACCTATCAAACCAAGGAACCAACTCATATATGTTCATACATTGTAGCTACTAATTCAGCCAAACACAAAACAAAGTTTTAACACTTGCCTTGGATAACACTAAGAGAAAGAAAAAGAAAAAGAAAACATTGAAGAGCAACAAGAGAAGTAGGACTTCGTTTGGAATAAATTCCATAAGTGGGGGCGGTAGAAGGTACGTGAATTGAATGCACGTCCTCCTAGGCATAAAGCCGGGCGCCTCTCACGAGGTGTGAACCTCGCCCCGTTGCTACTCTTCAACAAAAATAGAAAGGAAGGGATAGAAGGATAGAAGAGGAACTCAAGAATGAAAGCATCAATTCACACAATTCTCAGTACACAATTCCAAGTATGCAAACATCCATGAATCAATCAACTTAATCCTAACTCCGCTCCTAGGAACTAAGCAAGATAAAATAAATAGAAGAGAGTTTGGAAAGATCTCACCGGAGCCATGCCAATCCAAAACATAAAAAGAATGATGGGTTCCAAGTCAACCAACCTTGGCTCCTTCCAAAAGTAGTATACAACCTGCCAAAAAGTGAGAAATACCAGAACTCCAAAGCAAAAAGATTAGAAAACAAAATAAAGAAGAAAAAGGAAAAGTGATCATGTATAATACAAACCAACAGATACAAGCCAACAGATTATTAAGCACAAGCAAGCATAGGAAAGGCTGCTCATCCCCAAAATGATCTTTTCATTTGCCCCTAGATATGAAAATGCTAAGGCACCCCCCCAACTAAAACCAGGCACCGTCTCGGTGCGATAAAACATGTAATAGTCAAGGGTGGGGGGGGGGTCAAAAGAAATGATCATCTATTCCTCAGAGTCTTCCTCTTCCTCTTCCTCTACAACTACAGGGGGCGCCCAATCATAATCAACATCGCATGGCGGCCCATATGGCTCCCACCCACCGTAATAACCGGGGGGAAAGCCGTCGCCCTGATAAGGATAGGCGGGATCACCGAGGTAATCACACCCACCTGGGCGCTGGTAGTTGTAGGGGGGGAAGGAGTGGGGAGGGTCATGCAGGGTACCGGGGCCTTGCCAATAGGGGTATTGGTCGCCGGTACGAGGAATGGGGTTCCCATTGTCATCTACCTGAGGGGGCTCCCAATTCGGGACAGGCCCGTGCTGCGGAGGGTAGTAGGGGTAGTTGACACATGGGCTAAAATGTCCCTGGTCCACATGGTAATCATAAATATGGTTTTGATAAATATCAAAAGTGGGACCAGGAGACTGAGCAGGGGCCTCCTCTCTTTCCCTAGGCCGGGCTTGAGCAAGGTTCCTAACCTCCAGAGTGAGGCTAGCGAAAGCTTGCTCAATATTAAATGCAGAAGAGGAAGAGGGCTCACCTCCCCCCGAGAACTGGGGGGGCTGCTGAAGATGCTGCTGTGCCTGAGAAATAAATTGTTGAAATTGCTCTTGTTGCTGCTGCTGAAACTGTTGCTGCTGTTGCTCTTGATGTTGCTGGAATTGTTGTTGTTGCCGCCTCGCTTGCCTGATTTCATTTCTATGATCAATCTCGGGCTGGGAGAGGTCATTCTCGTGAATTTGCTCCATAGGGACTTGCCATGGTAACTCAGTTCCCGGGGGCGGATTCATCATGAACGGACATGGCATGTAGCACCAAGGGACGTCTCGGATCCGCCAAATGAAGGCCTTACCCGTGACTCCCGTGGAATCCGAAATGAATTGCATTCTTTTCATCTCTCTATGTTCAATTCGGCTGCCATGTTCAAGCTCTCCATCTGCTGCAGCTGGGTCTTGTATCTGTACTTGAAGGCGATATACGTGACCATCCCTCCCATAAAGATAGGACCAGTCAAGAGGGGGGAGTCCCTTATTGCCTTACATCTCTTGGCAAACAGATACCCTAGATTGATCTTGTGCTCCGGGGTGGTAGGTGGATAAAGAAGCGCACCCTCGGTAGCTCTCCAAAGAAGATATAACTCTTGATCGCTCATTTTACCTAGATCTTTTCTGGAGAAGAAAATATATGCAAGCATCCGGTGAAAGTACCGTAAGGCGGCATGGTGGATCTCTGAGGCCTTGGAGGAGTTTGATTGGAATTCTCTAGCCCCACTCGTGATTCGGGCCCAAAATTCTTGCGGACTGTACCCCTCTATATAACCTTGACCGTCAAGTCCGGAGGTATCCAAGATTCGAGCATTTGGGTCCCAACCAAATAGTTCATTGAAAGCACGGAGGGTAATGTGGCGGCCTTTGTTGAACAACCGGAATTTTACTTTGAATGCATCAATGCCTTCCATACCCTCTTCTTGATTTAACTCGAAGCTAGCAAGAAACTCCAATGTTAGGGGGCGGTAAGTTAGAGGCGGTTGGGTGGGGTAGTAGTAGGAAGTATCTGCGGTGATGTAATCATTTGGCAATCTACAATCCAAGAACGCATCAAACCCCAGATTCACTGCAAGCTCCCTAACCTTCTCGTCTATTCCAATCATATAACAGTCGTGTTGGGAATAGAAGAGAGTTGGATTAATTGCCCTCCTATCCAATGCGGCCAATTTGGTCCTTTGGGCCGCATGTGGCAGGGTAATGTTGAATTGAGTGGGTTGAGCATGCCCACCACTACTACCGGCACCACTACTTTCTCCTACATTACCACTCCTTGGTTCGGCTCTTTGCCTCTTTGAACCACCAGCCATTTCTTACAACAACAATATAGAAATTTTCCAAAGCAACACACCACAACAACCCAACAATTTCCAACAATTCTACACAATGACCACAAAAACAAAACTCTCCAAAACTTTGCACAACCACCAATTCTAAAACCAAAACTTTCTACAAACCAAAACCTAGCAAAAATCCACAATAATTTTCCCTTGCCAAAGCACCACAACAAACAACACACTACAATTCACAACAAATTTTCACCACATAAAACACAAAACCCATTCATTCACCATCAATTCTCCAATTAAGCCAACCTTAATAAGCAAATATCCAAAGAAATAGGGAAAATTAACTTAGTAAGAGTAGGATTATACCAACAATTGGAGACAAATTAGCCTAGAGTTGAAATTGAAGAAGAACCCGACTTGGCCCGACGCGAACCCGGTAGAACCCGCTTCAATTCTTGATGAAATCCGGACTAGGTGCTGAATTCTTGATGGAGATGTATGATTTTTGGAGATAGGGGATGAATAATTTGTGAATTTTAGAGGAATTCGTAGTTGGAAGGTGGAGATTTGGAGGAGATGAAGGTTTGGTTATGGAGGAAGAAGTTGAGGGAGTTTGAGGTGAGAGAAGGGATAGGGATAGGGAGTTTGAGGTGAGAATTTGGGTGCTCAAAATTAAAAGGGGATAAAACGCAAAGTCTGAAATGAGGGTCGGCGCGGGCGCTCTAAGGGTAGAGCGGCCGCTCTAACATTTCGCTGAAAAATCAGGTTTCTGGGTTGAAAATCAAAGCGCCCGCTCTAAGACCAGGGCGCCCGCTCTAAAGCTGCGCAATTTTCCCACACTTAGTCAATTTTTCACCCAAAACTCAGAGCTCCCGCTCTCTGACCAGAGCGCCCGCTCTAGCTTCTCGGATTTTAGCACCAAAAATGTAGAATTTCTGAGGGACCTTCAAAGCGCCCGCTCTACACCCAGAGCGCCCGCTCTAAATTCTCGAAATTTTCCTTCCTTAGCCCCCTTAAAATCAGAGCGCCCGCTCTACACCCAGAGCGCCCGCTCTAAATTCTCGGATTTTGGCCTCAAGTATTCTGAATAATTCCCAATGATGCAGAGCGCCCGCCCTCTGTTTAGAGCGCCCGCTCTAGACTGTCGGATTTTTGGCTTTAAAAGCATTATTTCCCAAACCTGCAAACACTCAAATATCACTCAAACCAAAATCGTTAGTACTTCTATAGGATGCGACCTAAGTACCCGACTCAACTATTGATTGGTTGAGCCAAGAGGTCGTGCCCTTCGGTTTATAGCATTTTGGCTAACGATAACCAACATAAACCATCCCCTCTTTGGGGAAAAATCCTCCGGATTTTCGCAAAGTACTTAAAACAAAAAGTAACTAAAGAGATAGTTCAAAGACAAATATTCACAATATACTACAAAGCATGATAGTTTAACGTCCCTAGCTTGACGTTACGTCACGAGCAATAAAGCTAAGGGGGAGGAACGGTGTGGACCGTCCCAAGCATTAGGCAACCGATCTTTCCAATATCTCCTTCATCATAGTATCTTTTGATCCGTTGCCCATTCACCATGAACCGGCTCCCATCTTCATGATTTTCCAATTCGAACGAGCCATAGGGGGTTACTTTGGTGATTGTAAACGGCCCCACCCATTTGGACTTGAGCTTCCCGGGAAAGAGTCGGAGACGTGAGTTGAAGAGAAGAACCTTGTTACCCACCTCGAAGTCACGATCTCGAATCCTTTTGTCGTGCCACCTCTTGGTTTGTTCTTTGTAGAGTCTAGAGCTCTCATAAGCATCATACCTCAACTCTTCCAACTCGTTGAGCTTGAGTAACCTCTTTTCTCCGGCCAAGTGAAGGTCCATGTTGAGTTCCTTTACAGCCCACCATGCCTTGTACTCCAATTCCACCGGAAGGTGGCATCCCTTACCATAGACAAGTCGATATGGCGTGGTGCCAATCGGTGTCTTGTAAGCGGTCCGTAAGGCCCATAGTACATCATCCAGTCTTAGGGACCAATCTTTTCTAGACTTGTTGACCATCCTCTCGAGCAAACTCTTAATTTCTCTGTTGGACACCTCCACTTGCCCTTGGGTTTGTGGATGGTAAGGGAGTCCAACCTTATGATGTACCCCATATTTCTTCAAAAGTGCTTCGAGTTGTTTCTTGGCGAAATGAGATCCGCCATCACTAATTAGGCACCGTGGCACCCCAAATCTAGGAAAGATGATCTTCTTGAGCAACTTCAACACTACCTTGTGGTCATTTGTGGGTGATGGTATCGCTTCCACCCATTTAGTCACATAATCCACAGCCACAAGGATATACAAATTCCCACATGAGGAGACAAACAGACCCATGAAGTCCACTCCCCATACATCAAATGGCTCAACTTCTAAGATTGATTGTTGCGGCATTTCATTTCTCTTTGTGATTCCTCCCATCCTTTGGCATCGGTCACATCGAAGGATGAACTTGTCAACATCTTTGCGCATAGTTGGCCACCAAAGCTTGCAACCTAGGATCCTTGCCACGGTCTTGTTGACACCTCCATGACCTCCACAAGGTAGTGAATGACAATGTTCCATAATACCTTCCATCTCATGATTTTCCACACATTTCCGGAACAAACCGTCACTACACTTCTTGTACAAGCTTGGATCATCCCAAAAATACCTCTTAACTTCCTTGAAGAACCTCTTCCTTTGTCGAGCATCATAGTCATGAGGTACCACCCCGCTTGCTAAATAATTTGCAATATCAGCGAACCAAGGGATGGTGTTGGAAACGATCGCCATAAGAGAGTCATCTCGAAGCTCATCATCGATGGGATCCTCTTTGTCAAGGTAAGAAGGGTGGTCTAACGGCAACCTTGAGAGGTGGTCAGCCACTAGGTTCTCACTTCCTTTCTTATCCCGTATTTCAATGTCAAATTCTTGTAAGAGAAGGACCCATCGGATTAGACGCGGCTTAGCATCCTTTTTGCTCATTAAATACTTCACCGCGGAGTGATCGGTGTAGACAATGGCCTTGTTGCACACCAAATAGGGTCTAAACTTGTCAAAAGCGAAGACCACCGCCAACATTTCCTTCTCCGTGGTGGTGTAATTCTTTTGTGCCGTATCTAAAGTCCGGCTTGCATAAGAGATCACATTCAATTTCTTTTCTTTCCTTTGCCCAAGGACTGCTCCAACTGCATTATCACTCGCGTCACACATTAGTTCAAACGGGAGTTCCCAATTCGGTGCTTGCACTATAGGCGCATTCACTAAAGCATTTTTCAAGGTTTCAAATGCCTTAGTGCAAGCATCATCGAATTTGAACTCCACCTCTTTTTGAAGTAAACTCGTCAAAGGTCTCGCTATTTGTGCAAAATCTTTGATAAATCGGCGATAGAAGCCGGCGTGCCCCAAGAAGGCACGTACCCCGGTCACCGATGATGGTGGGGGTAGCTTTTCTATCGCCGAGACCTTTGCCGGGTCTACCTCAATACCATTAATGGACACTTTATGCCCGAGGACAATGCCCTCCTCGACCATAAAATGGCACTTTTCCCAATTCAACACAAGGTTCGTCTCTTGACACCTCTTTAAAACCTTTTCGAGATTGTGCAAGCATAGGTCAAAAGACGAACCACAAACACTGAAATCATCCATGAAAACTTCTATTGCATTTTCGATCATATCAGAAAAGATTGCTGTCATACATCGTTGGAAAGTCGATGGGGCATTGCACAATCCGAAGGGCATCCTTCGGTAGGCAAATGTCCCAAATGGACAAGTGAAGGTTGTTTTATGTTGGTCATCCGGGTGAATTGGGATTTGAAAGAAACCCGAATAACCATCAAGAAAACAATAGTGTGAATGCTTCACCAACCTTTCCAACATTTGATCGATAAATGGCAAGGGGAAATGATCTTTTCTAGTGGCTTTATTAAGCCTCCTATAGTCAATGCACATTCTCCACCCCGTGACAGTGCGGGTGGAGATATCATTCCCCTTGTCATCTTGTATGATGGTCATGCCTCCCTTTTTGGGAACCACATGAACCGGGCTCACCCATTTGCTATCGGAGATAGCATAAATGATCCCCGCTTCACGTAGTTTGAGGATTTCCTTCTTAACCACTTCCTTCAAAGTCGGATTCAACCGCCTTTGAGGTTCAATGGAAGAGGCATGATCATCCTCAAGATGAATGCGATGCATACACAAGCTAGGGCTAATCCCCTTAATATCATCAATGCTATACCCGATAACACTCCTATATTTTTTTAAAATCTCAATTAATTTTTGCAATGAGGTGTCATCGAGGTTAGCATTGACAATAATAGGATGTAAGCAATCATCATCCAAATAAGCATATTTGAGAGAAGGAGGGAGGGGTTTTAGTTCTACCTTGGGAGGAGGCGTGGAACTCTCCTCCTTAGACTCACTTTGGATCGATGGGAGCTCATCCACGGCTCCTTGAGTCTCGGGATGAGTTTCACCTTCAAGGCTTTCAACCTCCAAGGCACACAAAGATTCTCCTTCACCCACCTCCTCACATGGGAGGTCTTCATCACCCTTGTCTTTAATTACCTCATGAGACTTCACCAATTCATCAAGTTCGGAGTCCACCAAGTCCACCCGCCAAATCTTCTCTACCATAGGTTGCTTCAAAGTCTTTGAGAATTCAAACTTGTACTTCTCATTGGCCACCTCACATGTAATGGTATTATCTTTGCAATTGACGACCGCTCCCATGGTCTTGAGTGCCTCTCTTCCAAGGATAAGAGGAGTATGAGGGTCCTCCTCCATATCCATCACCACAAAATCGCAAGGCACAAACAAATTCCCAATCTTGATAGGAACGTCTTCTAACTCACCGCATGGGAATTTTGTGGACTGGTCGGCTAATTGAATCACCTTTCTTGAAGGTATCATCTCGAACTTGAGCTTCTTTGCAATGGATAGTGGCATGAGGCTCACACTTGCCCCAAGATCGGCTAGTGCACCCGTGGTCTCCATATCACCAATCTTGACCGGAAGAGTGAAGCTTCCCGGATCACATTGCTTGGTAGGCAAGGTTCTTTGCACTAGGGCACTAACTTGATGAGGAAGAGTGATACACTCATCACTTAGCTTCTTTTTGTTGGAGAGGAGTTCCTTGAGGAATTTTGCATAGGGTGGCATTTGAGTCATGGCTTCAAGGAATGGAATGTTAATGTGAAGTGACTTGAGCATAGCCATAAACTTGTTGTACTTGTCATTCAATCTCCTCTCAACAATCCTCTTGGGATAAGGCGGTGGTGGTTCAAACCTTGATGGTTGATAAGATGTTGATGGTTGCTTGTCTTTCCCAACTTCCTTGCTCTTTTCACTACCTTCACCCTTCTTCTTCTCAATGCTTCCTTCAACACTATTGTCAATTATTTGACCTTGGCTATCTCCATTGACCTCTTCAACCACTTGCTCTTCACCCTCCTTGTTGTGCTCCGATTGATCACTCCTAGGCCCCTCATAAGACTTTCCGGACCTAAGAGAGATAGCTTTGATATGATGGGTGGTAGCCGGGTTGGTAGTAGGTTGGCTCGGGAGCTTCTCATTGGCTAGATTGGTCACCCTCTCGGCGAGTTGAGCCACTTGATTATCCATCATCTTTTGATGTGCGGTGACCTCTTGATGCCTTTGATCCGCTTTTCGCTCACTATTGGTTATTCTTTGATCCATGGCGGATAGGCTTGATTGGATTCTATTGAGAGTTTCCATGAGCATTTGTTGATTAGGATCATTTTGCATGGAAGGGTTGGGTTGGAAATTTTGAAATTGGTTGGGTGGTCCTTGCTTGAATGGTGCTCTAGGGTGATTGCTAGCATTTGGATTTGGAAAGGGAGCCATTTGACCCGTGTTGTGGCTTGGGCCACTTGCATCTTGAAATCTATTACCATAATTGGCATTGGGGGCTCTCCAATTATCACGTTGATTGTTCATGTACCCCATTGCCGCTACATGTTCGGGGTCTCGACCACCACAATATGATATATCATGGTTGGTACCCCCACAATTCTCACAAGAGAAAGAGTGTACTTGATTGGTGGAGGAAGATGAAGACCCTTGGCTATTTCCCAGCTTCTTGTCAATGACTTGTTCCATAAGAGCCTTGAGTGAACCTTGATCAAGCTCGAATTTGCCCGAAGCTCTCTCTTCACCTCTTCTTCTTCCACCACTCGTAGAATAGTACCTCACAACTTCCTCTATGGTGTCCTCCAATTGAGCTTGAGGCACCTTGCTAATATGTCCACCACATCCGGAATTCAAATTTTGCTTGGGTATGTCGTCAAGACCATCATAGAAGAACTTGATGAGAAGTTGCTTGTCAAACTCATGGTGTGGGCAAGCTCTCACATACTCTTTAAACCGGTCCCAAGCTTCCCCCAAAGATTCATACCTTTCTTGCCTAAATGATGAAATTTTCTGCCTCAATTCGGTTGATTTGTCTTCGGGAATGAACTTGTTCAAGAAAGCTTTGGCCGTGTCTCTCCATGTGGCCAACGAGCCGGGCTTTAGGTTTTTGAGCCACCTATAAGCCTTGCCTGTGAGCGAATACCGAAAAAGGTGCATCCGGATGTATTCTTGAGTGACTTGGTTGGTTTGGATTAAAGCACATGTCTCGAGAAATTTGTCCAAATGCTCTATCGGATCTTCATGAGCTGCTCCAGAAAATTGATCTCCACGCACCATTTGAGTGTAGTGCGGGTGGATAGTGAAATTTGTTTCCGTTGTAGGAAGTAGAATCCCACATTGCAATTCATGACTACCCGGATTACCAAAGTCACCAAAAAGAGCGCCATTGGCATCCCCCATGTCTGAAGAAATATCACTAGAAGAATCAAAGAACTCCTCCTCCTCACCCGTTTGTTCAACAAATAGTCTCCTCACTCGCCTTAGAGTGCGGTCAATGTCGAGATCGAGGTCGTGATTAGGTGGTCCCTGTGATCTTCTAAGCATTCAACACAGCTAAGCAGACAATTAGCGAATGACAACAACGGAGAAATAAATGAAAAATAGAAGGATAGAAGTAGAAAACAATTGAAAAACAAGATAACTAAGCAATAAACAATGTTGCCATTCCCCGGCAACGGCGCCAAAACTTGATCGGCCCCCTAGGTGTCGTTAGTTCCTAAAGGTCGAGTCAAGAATAAAAAGAAAACCCACGTCCTAAACTAACCAAAGGTAGCATAGTGGAAGAGGGGTCGAATCCTCAGGGAAGGTCAAACGTCTCTTGCTTAGATCACTTATAAGTCAATTGAAAAGGGAGGAATAAATTTTTGATGGATTTATCTATAGCTACTAGGGAAACAAATAAACTAAGAACTAAATTAACAAGCAACAAGCAGAGGTATAAAACTTCGAAAATCAAGGAATAGCAAACACTAGGGGATAGGGGAGAATTCCTAACTAACAATGATTTCAACAATTAGAGGCAACAAGAATGGTTCAATCGGTCAACCAAACAATTGGGGCCTATGGTCCAACATCTAGGATTCCCTCTCGGGCTCACCTAAACACCGCCTACCCAACCCCGCCTCGGTGGTCGAGGTCATCCCTAACCTAGTCATCATCACATACAAGCTCACTCTCGCGCAACTAGCATGCAACACAAAATAGGGTCTTAGAGGTGATCAATCTCTAATTCCTAACAACTAAAACCTAGGTTGGAATCAATTGCAAAACTTCTCAATCTACCCAATCTTGCACCACATATCATTCATTTAATCATTAGTTCATCATTTCCCCCTCCCCTAGCTAGAAACCTAGCCTAGAGAAGGAAGGGTCATACCAAAGCACACAAGAACATTAACAAAAGCAAAAACTAAGTTTAATGAGAGAAACATGGCTAAAACCAGAAAATAGGATGATTAAACTTTACTAAAGAAGTTAACTTTGAAGAGAATATGTTAAGTCTACTTGTAATCTATTCTAAATAGCATGAAATCTAAGCAAATAAGGATAATATTATACTAATAGCAAGAAAATAAAGGATCAAAACCAGAAATTGCAAGTTTAAACAAGGAGGCAACTAAGATATTAAACTATTCTATTGACTTGAAATAACAACTAAAGATAAGCTAAAACTAATTAAAATAGATAAATAAAGCAATAAATAAAGAGTAGGGATAGAAATAATACCAAAAGATTTAATCTTGGATTGAAAATGAAAGAGAGTAACAAAGAGTGGTGTTTTAGATCTAATGAGGAACTAAACCCTAACTAATCTAAAGTGCAAAAGAAAGAAAAAAAACAATAAGCTGAAATCTGATTTTCTAATATTTCTCTCTCTACATACCTCTCCCCTCTAGCTATTACAAGGAAGAGAGGTATTTATACCCTCCTCTAAAACCTAACCCAAATCAAGGCCCAAAATTTTAGGCATCACGTGCAGAGTAAAATAATTAGAGCCGTCGGCCTACGCGTGTAGCAGAGTTCAAATCGGTCAGGGGAACACGGAGCGCCCGCTCTAAGGCCAGAGCGCCCGCTCTGAAGTCTCGCAGAAAATGCTCTGATTATTCTGGGAGCTAGAGCGCCCGCTTCAACATTAGAGCGCCCGCTCTGAGGGTTGGGTACTTGGTTTTTCTGCAGCAAGGAATACAGAGCGCCCGCTCCATATCTAGAGCGCCCGCTCTGAACTCTTCTTTCCTTCATATTTTGGGCTCTAATGCTCCAATCCCTTTGACTCCAAAGCATGCCTAATCCTTGCATCCAATCCTTGCTTTCTTAGCCACGGGAGGACCTGTAAGATGGAAAACACAAATCATAGGAAAGGTTCTAATAGGAGCAAATTGAAATGGGTTAAAGGAGAGGGAATAAAACCTTAGGAAATGAGCCAAAAATGACTCAAAACCACTCCAAGTAACAAATATGCTCAATAATAACAAAACTAAGCTAAAATAGAGGAAAAAGGGCAAACAAAGGGCTCAATCGGGGAAGAAACGAAGTAGAAAAGTGGGCCAAATGGCCACTGATCACACAACTCCTCCACCATCACTCAAGGGACTCTCAATCTCTCTTGATTTCTCAAACTCACCATTATCATCCTCATGAACTCCCTCATTCACACATGAAGATGGCTCACTCACATCCTCACTAAGGGAAGCTCTCAAATGGGGTGAATAAAGGGAAGGATGGCATTCAAGCTCAAATGGGGAATGAAAAGGATCAAAATCCTCAAAAATCCTACATCACAAGAAAATCTCCCCTCACCTTCACACCCTTGGCCCACATCATCCTCAAAAACACTCTCACACTCCAAATGAGGTGCCTCACATCCATTTACATTAACCAAAGCACTCATCACTTGGGCAAGCCTCACTTCTCTCAATTTTTGTCCCTCTTGAAGCTCTTGGAGTTGTTGGGTGAGATATTGCATTTGAGAAAGAATTTGTGCATCAATTTTATTGGGTTGAGGTTCATTATCAAAGTCAAATTGCACATCATCAAAATTAGCACAAACCTCATCAAAATGAGCATAAGGGGGAAAGGTGTCAATTTTGCATACTTGGATTATCACAAGGCACATAAGAAGTATCAAGAGAATTCATGCAAAAATTAAAAGAATCATGGCATTGAGAATCAAAATAAGAAACATGAGATTCTCTATCTAAATAATCCTTAGCAAGCCATGTGAAGAAATCCCACGCATCATGCATAGACAAATGACAAAATCTACCATTGTTCATGTCCTCAACCATTCCCCTAGTATACTCATTCATGCCCCAATAAGCTATACCACAAGCATCACTAAGAGAACACCCATGGTAACTAAGAAAACCATCTAGTCTTTCAATGTAAGCATAGAAGGGTTCACCATCAAATTGAGGAAAAGATAAGCATGCCATTTTTATACAAAGAACAAAGAAAAGCAAACAAAAATCAAATTATATACAAGAACCTAGATAATCTAATCAACAAAAACTAATGAACGCCTTAGTCCCTGACAACGGCGCCAAAATTTGATCGCGGGTGGAAGTAGGTCGTTGGGACTACTAACCCTAACCAAATTAGAAATTTATAATACCTAAATTTACACTAAACTAGTTAGTGGCAAGTAAAGGGTCGAACCCAAAAGGACTAAGTGTACTAATTTGTGCTAACTAGACTACTAGGAAAGGTCGTGAGATAGAGAGAGGTTTAACTAAACACAACTAAGAACAAATAACTAAAACTAGGGAAAGTGGAATCCAATTACATCAATACATTCAATAACATCATACAATTAGATGAAAATGACCTTGATTAGGAACAATCAACACATTTAACTCACTCTCGCACAATTAAGCATGTTAATTATCCTACTAAGCTAATTCACTCTCGTGCAACTAGCCTAGCAAAGGTATGGAAGAAAATAGGGCTCTCAACCAACTCACTCTCGCATAATCGATTGAAAGCACAATTAAAAACATAGAATAAATTAGCTAGAAAGATTCTAATACATAAAAGCATCATCCATACACAATAATCAAGAAACAATTCCATACTAATCACAATCAATCATTCAATTTATTAACATAACTTTCATCCTTTTCCCTAGAACAAAATCTAAGCTAACATAATGAAGAAAGATATGGAAAACAAGGTAAAATAAGAATAAAAACAAGATTAAACAAATAAACTAATTAATCTACTCAAATTAATAAACAAAAAGCAAAAACTAAGAATAAAGCAAGAAGAGAAAGTTAGAAAATGCTCATTGAATAGATGAGAAGAAGTTCCACGAAGTTGCTTCCTCAACCTCTCAAAAACTCCATGGAAATCCAAGCTTTCTCTCTCTACACTTCTCCTAACCCTAAGAGAGTGAAAATAAAAGCTAAACTAATCTAATCTAAAATAAAATGTTGATTCATAGTTTTTTTTCTAAAATAACCCAAAGAGGGTATTTCTAATACACGCTAAAATAATGTAAAAGAAATTAAAAAGAAATAAAACTAAACTAAAAACAATTAAAATAATAAACTAAAATTCAAAAGAAAAACAAAACTAAAAATAAAATAAAATAAAATAAAAATTAAAAGGAAAAATGAAAAAGGAAAAACCCCCAAAACCCCACTAAACCGTCCAAACCCACGATTTTAATCAGACCCTTAAACTCCTTCACTTTTGATTTCCCCTCTCTCATTTCTTGGGATGTAATCCCTTGCTTCACGCCACATCAAACTCCATCATCAATCATCACGCAACCATCATCACCACCATCGCAAGCATCCATCATCATCTAGCATCAAATCGTGGCCGTCCAATTCTCATTAAAAATCACGTGAAAAGCTCGTGATTACTCATGTTTGCGCGCCCGCGAAGAAGACGCACATAGATCTCGCAAAGCTTCTGCCTCGAATCTGATTTTGGACTCCATTTTGTGCGCTTTCTGACAGGGCTGCGCGGCCGAGAATTGGTTGCTCTATAAGTTTGGGTGTTGGGCGAAATGCGGCTGTAATTGGTGAGTAATTGGGTGGTGATTTGGGTGGTTAATTGTGGGTGAAGGGCTGGTGATTTAATTGGTGTTGTGGGGGTCGAATTGAGGTGGTAATTGCTGGCGGTTTAGTGGCAAAATGGGAGGTGACGGTGGTGTTGGTGGTTTAATTGGTGCGAATTGGTGAAGGAGGCATGTTGGAGTTTGCGTGGAGGTGGAAGTGGCTGTGAAATAAAATAAAATAAAGTAAAATAAAATAAGATAAATAAAGTAAAATAAAATGCTAAAACTAAAGAAATAATAAAATTAAATGAAATAAAATAAAATAAATTAAAACAAACTAGAAACTAAAAGAAAATAAATAAAACGAGAGAAGCGGGAAATTATTAACTTAAACTACAAAAATAAACTAAAAACTAATAAAAATGCAAAAGTACTCAAAATAGAGAACGAATAAGGAAAATAAGAAAATAAGCAAAATAAAGTATAAAACTAGGGAAAATATTAGAAACTAAACCGGAAAATAAGCATATAAATACCCTAA